CTTGTGAAGGGACCCTTGTAACCCAAAACTTGTGAATGGAGCCGTTGTGACCCAAGCCTTGTGAAAGAACCCTTATGACCCAAGCCTTGTGAAGGAACCATTGTGACCCAAGCCTTGTGAAGGAACCCTTGTGATCCAAGCCTTCTAAATGGAACCTTTCTGACTCAAGCCTTGTGAAAGAACCCTTCTGACCCAAGACTTGTGAACGGAACCTTTCTGACCCAAGCCTTGTGAAGGAACCATTGTGACTCATGCCTTGTGAAGGAACCCTTGTAACCCAAAACTTGTGAATGGAGCTCTTGTGACCCAAGCCTTGTGAATGGAGCCCTTGTGACCCAAGCCTTGTGAATGTAACCTTTCTTACCTAAGCCTTGTAAATGGAACCCTTCTGACCCAAGCCTTGTGAAAGAACTCTTCTGACCCAAGACTTGCGAATGGAACCTTTCTGACCCAAGCCTTGTGAATGGACCCTTGTAACCCAAAACTTGTGACCCAAGCCTTGTAAATGGAACCCTTCTGATTCAAGCCTTGTGAAAGAACCCTTCTGACCCAAGCCTTGTGAAAGAAACTTTCTTACCTAAGACTTGTGAAGGAATCATTGTGACCCATGCCTTGTGAAGGGACCCTTGTAACCCAAAACTTGTGAATGGAGCTCTTGTGACCCAAGCCTTATGAATGGAGCCCTTGTGACCGAAGCCTTGTAAATGTAACTTTTCTGACCCAAGCCTTGTGAGAGAACCCTTCTGACCCAAGACTTGTGAATGGAACCTTTCTGACCCAAGCCTTGTGAAGGGACCCTTGTAACCCATAACTTGTGAATGTAGCCCTTGTGACCCAAGTCTTGTGAATGGAACTCTTCTGACCCAAGCCTTGTGAAAGAACCCTTCTGACCCAAGACTTGTGAATGGAACCTCTCTGACCTAAGTTTTGTGAAGGAACCATTGTGCCCCAAGCTTTGTGAATGGAACCTTTCGTGTTAGCACGAAGTCACAAGTCATCGTGAACGAGGTTTTGAGCGTGCTAGTCTTGTTCAGATTGTTGATCACGTTAGATAACTCGCTTCTCTACACTGAAACTGTAACTAAGTTCTGCTCAGCGCAGTTGAAATATAAAACACAGGTGGGCACTGTGGCTGTTGAACAAACACAAATGTGCCTGAGCAGTTGTCTGCAATGGTGATTAACTAGCCGCCTTAGTAGACGGATATCCTCGGATTCATTTGGATGTGCCATTTACCTTTACTTACCTATTAACTAAAAACTATGTAAGTCTTGTTCTTTATCGTTTTCATTAGAAAATAACGTGTCACGGTAATTTTCACAAAAGGTTTGTTATTGGAAAGGATGCCTCAGCGATATAAAGACTTAGGAAACGTAGATGAATGCAAATTTGACATAGAAAAAAATCTATTAATTCTTCATTTATATAAGGTATTTGTTGATTTTAAGTAGCATCCATACTGAATGAGCGACAAAAGGGAAGGAAGACGGTGGAGGCAGGCCCCAGGGTAAAGAGTAGTCAGGCATGAACGAAAACGTAAATACGATATCTAAATCTGTATTTTACGGTAAGTGGTGTTTCTCGTCATTTTCGTGGTAGCTTTGTACAAACAAAAAAAAAAAGAATAAAGTGAAAATAATTTATTTGCTATAAGATGATTCCCTCTACTACAATATTTGACTACCATATGACTACTAGTATTGCTTAGAACAGGCATGAGCAACATTTTTCGAACAGTGGACCGCATGAGGTAAGGCGGGTCGCACTACTAAAATAATTAAGGTATTTTTTTAATTAAAGATACCGTAGCCATTTTCCCAAAAGCGTGACATCGTGATTAACACACACTGCTGGATGTGATTTGTTTCTAATTTATTCATTTGAGTAGACGAAAATATTTATAAAAGAAGAAGAATTATCATTTACGTTTCCTGTTTCTGAAGTCAAATATGTTTACACGTATGACCTTCCTTACTGAAAATCGCCAATGGCTGAAAATGCTGACAACGTTCCCTTCAACGAAATGTTACAAAATTCAAGAATGATTTTATTTCAAAATTCAAGAATCATTATTTATGTATGTGATTGTGCATGAGTGAATGTGTGAGTGAACAAGTGAGAACAAAAAGGAACAAACAACATTTTAATAAACGTTATTTTCCTCATGAAATTAAGCGTGCAATTTAGAAAGCTAACCGGGCCACATTTGCCCGCGAGCCACATTTTGCCCATGACAAAGATACTCAACACTTAGTAGATATAACAAAGTATATAAAGTGGTGTGGGTTACAGCAGAGGAAAGCGGTGACTAATAAACTGAACAACTTTGTGAAAATGGCTAGAGAAAGAGGTGTCACAGAGATAAACAGGTGTCATAAATGAGAGTGTATTATGGAAGACAGGAAGCTGTGAAGAGCCATGATATATCATGTCTTGATTTCACTTAGAAGAGCAATGTCATGTATATCTTGATGATTGTTACGCAAGTTGAGAAAACCAGTAATTCCCGGAAAACCCATTAAAAAAGAATAGGAATAAACCACATTTTAATAAATATTTTCCTCTCATAAAATTAGGTAGGGCATTCTGAAAGCCAATCGGACCGCAGTTTGCCTATGACTGGCTTAGAAGCTGGGGGGCATTATACACGAGCTTTATGAAAAAAAAATTAGGTTTTTCACAAAATAATTCAAGGATTGTACTATACATGAAGTAGACTTATACACGAGTATAAACGGTAATTTTCACGTTCTGACGCTGCTTAAAAAATGTCTTAAATGTGTTTGTTGATAAAACGCGTCTTTTTAAAATGTCATTTTACCTTGGATAAATTACCGAGAAATATTTTCTACTGGCTTTAAAGCCGCACTCTATACGAACTTTTAAGCAAGCTCCTGCGTAGCGCTAATTGGGCCTCCAGCCTAAAACTAAAAGGACCTCTGATCCAGCTTAGAAAGCAGCCATGATAATGTTTAAGAAATAATTCTGAATTCCTCAATTCACTCCATGGAGCTTTAAAACTTCACTTTAACTCTGATTCGGGCTATAAGTTCAATTCCGGCCAAAAAAAAAAAAACCCGATTTGGGCCGAAAGTCTGATTTGAGTCAAAAATCCGATTGGGTCTTAGTTTTTAAACAGCCTAAGTCAGCGCAAATCGAACAAAAGTCCGATTTTCGCTGAAATTCCAATTCAGGCCGAAAACTGAGTTTTTCAAATCAGAAGCTCTGCGGAACTTCAAAACCTCACGTCAAGAAACCTCTCACTTTAATTCTGATTCCTTGGCATTTTGAAGAAATCAAATTGATTTTCTCAATTCACAAAATTTTGGAGATATTTAAAACTCAATTTAGAACAAAAATTTTAAAATTCACAAAGTTTTTTGCGTTACTTTAAACTCAATATAAATTAAAAACTTTTAAAATCACTAATTTTTTTCAGTTATTTTAAAATTTGAATTTTAAACTGTTCCCTCCTTATCTGGGCACAAATCCCAATGCTGGATATTCAAGCACCAGATGAAGGGCAGATCCTGGGATTATCCGGATTACAAAAAGGCAAGTATGGCCCGAGTTAGAGGGATTTCAGACTTACGGACGGACAGACAGAATTTGCTGTTTATTTATTTAGATGTAGTTTTAAATATATATATTTAATTTAAGAAGTAGGGAAGTGTGGGTGCGTAAGACAGAAGAGAATCGGTGAAACCGAGTTCGAACTCCGGCTGGTTCAGTTTGCGTACACTCTGCACTAATACCATTGGAAAAGGCAAGATCCACTTCTACCTAACTGCAACTCATTTACTACTGATGTGATGTAACCCAATACAACCATTCGCATGTTACGTGGAGAGGAAGCTGTCAACTCGCTCCCATTTCCCTCAAAAGTGTCATGGTAGGAGAATTGGCATGGAATATCGACAACCTAATACAGAACTATTTTTCATACATTTACGCTGACTGGCACGCTTGTGTTAAAATTGCACTGGTAGGTGGAGCAGAATTGACGTCAAATGTTTATATTTTGTTGCATTAGCCGACTACGAGAAGTTGTTAGCCGTGGCGAGAACAAACAAGCGACGGCCAAACCACAGAAGCTGCAGTATTTTAGCTTATAGATTTTTACTTCATTCACATCTTGCAATTGCAGCTAAATGTTTAGAACTTATCTAAAAATGTAGAGAGATGTAAAAAGATAACAAAATGCGTATATGAAATGTTGTGACTTGTTCCAATCAGGATTCAAAAGGTAAAATCATTTTGTCTTTTCAAACGCCATGTCCCTTTTAGGTTGTGGGCGGTCATGACTCTACTCCCTGTACCGCTCTAGTAAGTACCAGAATCCTACTATCTGCTACCTTTACAAGAGCCAGATATGAACAAAAAATGGAGTACTGTTACCATATATGGACAGGAGCTGTCAAGTTTTTACTTTCCAGCCTCGATCGAGTCCAAAAGCGTCGACACATCCTTGTGGGTGATTAATTATTTTCCACCTTACAAACCCCTTTCCCACAGACGAAACATCGCAAGCCTCTCGTCGATCTATCGCTATTTCCATGGAAAGTGTTCAGACGAACTACAGTCCCTAGTTCCACCACTTCTAGCCTTCACGACAAAGATCCGCCACGCACATTGTATCGAACCACCGCCATTCCTTTCATTACATTGGCGAAATGTAAGTTCCACTCGAACGGCTTATTTCCACAAACCTCTGATTTGTGAAACTGACTCCTAAGAGGATGCTTCCCCGATCACTACAATCTTAACTTGTTCAAGTCTAGAGTTAACAGTTATCTTCCCCACATATCTGCATAAATTGTGTCTCTTACTATGTAACCCTCTAACCTAAGGATCTCTTGAGCCTTGTATGCAGTGAACATCATTGTAAAAATAAGATTCCTTTGCTATATTATCTGTAAACTGTCATGCATTCTTGGGAAAGATAGTGGAGTAGTTCTCAATGGTTAGATTAAGAGTTTTACTTTTCTCAGACTGGTGGCTTACGGCCATATTACGTTGAAACATCGGTTCTCCTACGATCACCGAAGTTAAGCAACGTCGAGCCTGGTCAGTACATACGTTGGTGACCACTTGGGAATACCAAGTGTTGGAAGCTTGGATGTGCAGGTGTTGTGAAATTGGAAAATCAGAGAGCCAAGTTCTATTTCTACTCGGGTACGTTATATTCGCAAATACCCTTGTGAGAATTATGAATATACTCCCCGCTATGGGTTAATTAGTATGACTTTTATCAGTAAATCATTATCATCTCCAAAAATGTTCTTACAATCTAAAATATTTTGGGGCTTTAAATAACTTGCAAATGGTTGATAAACCGTAAAAAAAAAAAACAAATCAAACAGATTGGTTGCCATTCAGGGCTAAAGAGCCCAATTTATCCTGTTACCTAACCCATCACTGGGAGGAGGGGGGAGAGACAGGTTCATGCCTTTCCCAAGACTATTAGTGCGAAAGCGAGTGCAACAGACTAACTCAAAATGTGAACTCGTATCTCCGATTCTATTTTCCGTACCAAAAGCCATTACCCTACACACAAATCCTCTTAAAACACTGTTAAAATTATAGCGCCCTAATATAACTCCATTGAACACTTACTGCCTCGTTAATAAATTCATAGGACCCCAAATGGTCGTTACTATTTCTTAGTTTTGACACAAGGCTATAAGTATGGGCCACCTTAAGTGAGCGCTGAATTAACTACTTAGTAGTAATAATTGATCGTCAAGACTAGCTCGTTAACCGTTACCCATTACCCCACCACATACCGAGATGCCTGCTTTTATTACTCTGATGATAATCGTTTTTAACAGCTTTTACTTTTAGCTTTGTCATTTACAAAATTCATTCATTCATTTGTATTATAAACTGAACAAATACAGACTAAATTTACAGTTTTACCAACCGCATAGCTTTTTAGTTTAGTACTGTACAAAGTCTCATAAGTTTAGAAAGATTGTGTTGTGCCAACCTTGAATGAGTTCAAATTTTGCATTGAATCCAAATACCAGTCACTGACGTCATTGCGAAAGAAATCTTCACCATTAAGCAAGGCCGATTATTAAATTAATCATTAAATGACGATTATCCGTCATTTAATAATTATTTTCATGTCACTAATTATGAGCTGACACTCTCTAGAGAACAAGTGACAACAAGTCCCTTTCTAGCACTCACCTTCATTTTCATATTATTCGTTACTTATCTATATTTTATTTTTTTCACGCCTAAGTAACTGATGCTTTTTTCACCGAATTCAAGCGACAACAAGTCTCGTCAGTACCCCCACCACCACCACCACCACATCATGTTTCCTAGTATTGTAGCCGAACTGTTGTCAAAATATGGTTCTACTCTACAGTACACTCTCCCAACCCTTGATTTAGTAATAATTAATTAATTCAACCAGCCTTTCTTTTTCGAGACTGTTTCCGGTGCTCCAATAACGATTGGTACAACAGTCACCTTTTTACGTTCTGCAATTTCATCAGTTCTCTAGTAAGGACAAGATATCTAGCTAGCCGAGTTTCATTTTTTTTTATAAATAATTAAATTATTATTAGCAGTACTTAGTACTAATAATACTAAAAGTAGTAGTAATTTTTCTTCTTATTATTATTATTACTTTTCTAATTATTATTTTTAATTTTTTTATTTATTGTTCAGTTTTAGGCTCTGTGTGAACATCGTGCTACTCAGGGAGCAAAGATCGTCCCTTGGGCTTGGGGCTACCATAGTAGTGGTGCTGCTGCTGCTTGTTGTTGTTATTGTTGGTAGTTTTTCTTATTTATTATAATTTTTTATTTGTTATTCAGAGTCGAGATCATCACTTGGACTACGGATACAATGTGGATTGTTGTTATCATTTTCAAATTATTAATTATTATTTGTTTATTTTTAACATTTTTTAATTTTAATTTAAATATTAAATAAAAATTATGCTTATTTTTTTTTTTTTTTAAATAATGATTACATTTTTATTTACTTAACTTATTGTACGTACATATTGGGAGCATCGGTGAAGATCACGACAGCAAGTTATTTAAAAACTTTACTAATAAAATCCTGAACCGAATCCCTTTCATAACCATGCGATGTTGATCTGAACACAAACACTGAAACACAGGCAATGTGATTTCCAGTCTTCTCTTTCACTGAGCCAAATAGTGTCTCAAATCCACGCTTTAAATTTATTAGACACCACATGTCCTGTAGATGTCGTCGAAGAAAGATAAGGAGAGAGAGAGGGGGGTGGATACATAGAGAGAGGGCGAAAGAAAGGGTGTATGTGTGTGTAGAGAAAGCACTTTACTGATAATATTATTCTCGCTAGCTTTTATGCTCTTCGTCCCGAGACAGGCAGAGGGTCGATCAGTCAGTTCACTACCTACTCACTTTCTCTTTTCAAAAAAGAAAAAAAAAAAATTCTCATCCATTCTGTAGTTGGATCTTCCTGCAACTACTTTATTTCTCACAGAATTGTGTAAAGACGTCAGCTGCTAACGAATCAAGAGGCAGAAAAATACAAAAATCATTTAAGTCCATAGACATCGTCACAACGTAAGTGTCTCATAAGCCAGATTAATTGGAATTGGATCGACAAAGAAAGGAAAATAATCAGTATTAATTACATTTCCACCCAGAAATTAAAAAAGAAACGAGGTTTCATTTTGGGGGAATAAAAGTCCAGTCGAATACTACAAGCCTTCGGTAGGTATATTTTTTTTCTCTCACTCACATTCAGTAAACATTTTTGGCCTTAAAACACGCCGTCCGCACAGTAAATCGATATAGTTTTTTTAACATTTTTATTGTTGTAATTATAAGTTTTTAGCTTCTAATTTAGTTTCCCACCGGTATTAATCTACAATTTTGTGGTAATTATTCGGACTGATAAATAAAAAAACTAAAAGGCTGTCATTGCCAGGTATCTGATTTAAATTAGAATAAATACTACATAGTGTTTTTAAAACAATCTTTTTTTTTTGTTGTTGCTGTTGTTTAAGATTAAATTATTAACGTTTGTTAATTAATGATTTTTTTTCAACTAGAATCGTAAAGAGATGAAAAGGCAAAATTACGTATAGCAATTTTGACGGTAATAGAATGACACATTGGTTTTAAAATAAATCACATGTCGCAGTCAGACTTTCTCTAACCGAAGTATCTGATGTTAAATGTAAAAAAAAAGTATCCAAATTTAAAGACATGGATTTTTAATTTATTTTTAATTATGTTCTTTATTCTTCTTAATTTTAGAAATTAAATTTTCTCTTCAAATTATTTAAAAAAAAAAAATCTTTAAACTAAACTAAACAGCATTGTCTCGGCACTTATGGGGGGGGGTAACAAAAATACTATTGACTCACGCTGGAGAATTAAAGACAAATTAAAAAAATATATCTCCGTTTAAAAAAAAAAAAAATGAGAATTTCTTGGGTCGAAAAAAAAAAGGTTAGCTTTTGAACAAACCCGCTTATGGGCAAATGTGATCACGTGACTGAAAGCACCTCCCCCGCATGTATAGATTTTTTTTATTTGTTTTACAAATTATGTTTTCAAAAGGGTCTTCGTGATCCCTTTTTTTTCCCTCCGATTTTCATTTCATTTTATTAGTACTGACGTTTCAAAATCAAGAAAAAAATGCTGTCAAATTTTAGCGCATTCTTCAAGATATGAGACTAGGCAAAAAAAAGTCTGTCTTTATAAATCGTTGTAAAATAAAACCCTCTGTCGTTGAGTAGAATTGTGATGTGGCTTTCTCAAGCAATCTTTTTTTTTTTTACTTCATTATTAAAGGAAAGAACTTGCTGTCAAAAACGTGCGTGATCACAAGAATTTTATTTTCTTTACCTTAACTTTTTTTTTGTTAAATTTTGTCTTTATCATCACTCATATTGTGAATACGACTTTTTAAAAAAAAAAAAAAAAAAGACACGTTAACCTTTTTCAGGCCGTAGAAAAAAACAAAAAAGCACTTGCAAGAGGGGAAAAATACAGAAAAAAGATTTTCATCACTACACTGATAGAAAAAATCGAACCAGAAAGTATGAACACCCTACCCAAAAACATACTGTGTAGGCAAGAAGGAGCGAATTTCGAAGACTGGATGTGTGTGGTGCTGTTAAATATATATATATTTTATTTTTTTTTATTTTTTGAGATACGAGATCGTTATCTTCAATTAATTTGTTCAATTTTATTTTAGTTTCTCTTAAAAATACCTCGAGCAGAAAAATCACATTTATCGCAAAAAAGGGACTTTTCAATATTATTTATATTTAATTTTCTTTTGACTTTAGTTACTAAACTTAGTTTAGTAACGAATCTCACCTGTCTGGCAGCTGAAATGCTAATAACAACTACTACTTGGCCTTCAGCTTGACCTTTAAGCCGATTTTCCGTAAAAAGACATAAAGAAAAATTTAAATATTTCTATATAGTTTTTATCTCACACTGTCAATGGGCCTTAAAACGTTTGACAGCATTTTTTACGGTCATTTAAAACTCAAAGTAGAAATTAAAAAAAAAAACCTTCAAACGAATTTTAATTAAGGGAGATTAAAAACTAATTTGAACAAGTGGCAACCGATTGTCTGGTCTGTACACAATACAACATTCAGAACGGGATTTAAATGAAATCACTTGGACTAAGATAAAAAAAAAAAAACACAATGTTTTTTTGTGTTATTATTGAAAAAATATATTTTCTTTCATTTAATTTTAAAGTCCTAAAGCCTAAAGGTATCGGGGATTTTTTAAAAAATCTTTTATTAATTAATTTAAAAGAAATGGCTTGTCTTAAATTTCTATGGCCAATTATTTCGATGAACCGACTATTAAAAAACATTTCTTCACCACCTGTTTTACTTTCTGTTCCATGTTTTAAAAAAACATTTGAAATTAAATTCTTGTCATTAATGTCAGAAGTGACTTTTTAACTCTTTTTTTTTTTTTTTTAATGTACATCTCAAGAGAATAAGAAAAATAGCTGTATCATTATGTGTCCTTAAGTTAAAAAAAAAAAACAAAACCCTGCAATTTTTACGACTCCGTCAGTTCAATCAGTCGCTTGAGGAATCTAAAAGTTAGTATT